CTTTCCTCCTGAAGACCCTTTTCTGTTCTTTCCTCCTGAAGACCCTTTTCTGTTCTTTCCTCCTGAAGACCCTTTTCTGTTCTTTCCTCCTGAAGTCCCTTTTCTGTTTCTCTCCTCCTGAAGACCCTTTTCTGTCCTTTCCTCCTGAAGACCCTTTTCTGTCCTTTCCTCCTGAAGACCCTTTTTCTGTTCTTTCCTCCTGAAGACCCTTTCTGTTTCTCTCCTCCTGAAGACCCTTTTTGTTTCTCTCCTCTAGCTCTGAGTGACCCCAATGCAGCGGCTGCCCAGCAATTGGCTCTCCAGCAGCAAATCAATGCCCTGGCCTACTCTCCATACGGGGACTCCCCTCTCTTCAGAAACCTCATAGATGACCCCAAGAAGAAGGAGGAGGTGAGTAGTCGTGACTTCTGGAGGCTAGAATGATCTATATCTGGCATCATGCAGAGTCCCCCCTCAGAGGGATATCAAAGTAACACCCAATCCCGGCGGGAACTCGCTCCCTACTACAGCTGGACGGTCAGCCATGTCATCCTCCAGGACCTCGGGCTGAGCGTCTCCCATCCATGTCTATAGCGGAGATGTTCCTAGGGGCCAAGCTTGGTCAGGTGCTGGGGAAGTGTAGGGATCTCTATAGGCAGGAGGACTCTCCATGGGGTGTGGTTAGGGATGCGCTGATACCGATACCACGTATTTGGGAGAGTACTCGCCTAGCCGATACTTCCTGCATCAGGGCGCCGAGTCATTACACGGGGCCCGGTTTCCTGATTGGCCGGGAAGCGTCTCCATGCTCCCTTGTCACTTGTGATGAGAGAGCATGGAGCAGACTTCCCGGCCAATCAGGAAGCTGTGCGCGGTGTAATGACTCGGCGTTCTGATTGACCAGGAAGCTGGCTTCATGCTCCCTCGTCACCTAATGATCAGGGAGCCGGCCAATCAGAAAGCAGGGCGCTGCGTCATTACTCCGCGCACGGCTTCCATGATGCTCCGGCTGGGTACCAGAGGAAGGCCGCGTTCTGGCTGGAGGGGCCCCGGGGGTGACGGGCCGGACAAGGTGAGAGGCGACTTTCTTGGTAAGCGGAAAGCCGGGTCATTAGACGCCACCCGACTTCCTGAATGAGAAGGGCCCCTGGGAGTAGTGTGTTCTAGTGAGATGAGGGTCCCGGGAGTAGAGTGTTGTAGTGAGATGAGGGCCCCGGGAGTGACGAGGGTTACGGTGAGATGTGGGCCCCGGGAGTGACGAGGGTTACGGTGAGATGAGGGTCCCGGGAGTGACGAGGGTTACGGTGAGATGTGGGCCCCTGGGGGCCAGGCCCCCGGCTATGACATCATTTCCTCTTTTAGTATTGTGATTTTTGTTGTCTGTATTTCAGCGTCTGAAGCCGACCAATCCCGCGGCTCAGAAGGCGCTCGCCACCCCGACGCATTACAAGCTGACCCCGCGTCCTGCCGCCAGGGTGCGCCCCAAAGCCCTCCACGCGGCCGGGACCGCCAAGTCGCAGCTCTTCGATGGATTGGATGACGACGAACCTCTGATGACGGGAGGAGCTTTCATGCCCAAGTAAGTGTCCCCCTTCCAATGGGCGGGGCCCGCTGGCTGATTGGCTGATGTCATCAATTCCAGTCCTTCTCCTAGCTCTGGCAATCTTCCATCTTATCAGCCGACGTTCTGTGGCCCCTGCCAGATCGGTTATACCAGGGGCCAATCGTCCACCCGTCCCGGCTTCTGGAGCCCCGGCTCTGAGAGGCATTGTGGAGTCTCTACCTCCCTCATCATCGTGCGTGGAACGCATCTGGTTGCTGGGCCTCGTTCCGTTCGTTCTTCAGTCGGGGTAGAACATCATTTAGCCCTTGCCACCATCAAAACCTGACGTGGAAACTATTCGGCATGTTGTATGTTCCATGTGGTAGACATGACCATCAGACTGGCTGCACTGGTCTACGTTCTCAGCCTTCTCTTACAGGGGCCAGGGT